TCATCAGCAGCAGCATCATAGTCGGCAACATCATCATCATCAGCATCATAATCATCACCATCATCATCGTCAGCAGCATCATCGTCAGCATCATCAGAATCAGCATCAGCAGCATCTTCCTCGTCATCGCCATCGTCATCGCCATCACCACCACCATCACCATCACCATCACCATCACCATCACATTCCTTTTCCACGCGTCGCATACGTCCTCAAAGGATCCTTATACTGGTTTCCCTCCTCGCAAGCCTGCCCCTTCGACGGGGGGGGGGGGCGGTACTGCTCCCCCATCTCGATCCAGACCGCGCACTTGTTGTTGTAGTACCTCCCGCGGGGCACCGTACGAGGGGAGGGGGGCACCTGCCTCGCCGCGTCTCCACACCACCGTTAGCCCTTCCCTCATGTGTCCTCCTCCTCGGCCTGTATCAGTTATCAGTTCTCCTGTATCATTTCTCCTCCTCCTCTTCATCCTTTATCATTTATCCTGGAATCTTGTCCAGCTCCGCATCCGCCTCCCGCTCCTGCTCCTCCTCCTCCTCCTCATCATCATACTCTACCTCAGTATCATTTAATGTTCTCCTCCTCCCCCTCCTCCTCATTTCTCATCCTACTCCTCCTCCTCCTTATCATCCTCCTCATCATCATCCTCCTCATCCTCCTAATCCTCACGGTCCTCCTCCTCCTCATCATCATCATCATCGTCGGCATCATCATTGTCATCATCATCAGCATCATCATCATCATCATCATCATCATCATCATCATCAGCATCATCATCAACACCACCATCACCATCACCATCACCATCACCATCACCACCACCACCACCACCACCACCACCATCATCATCATCATCATCATCATCATCATCATCATCATTAGCAGCATCATCAGCATCATCATCAGCAGCAGCATCAGCATCAGCATCAGCATCAGCATCGTCAGCGGCATCACTATCATCAGCATCAGCAGCATCATCATCAGCATCATGAGCATCGTCAGCATCAGCATTATCATCATGACCATCACCATCACCATCACCATCATCATCATCAGCAGCAGCATCATCAGCATCATCATCACCATCATCCTCAGTATCCTCGCCATCATCATCACCACTATCATCACCATTACCATCATCATCATCATCATCAGCAGCATCATCATCATCAGCATTATCAGCAGCAGCATGATCAGCATCATCAGCATCATCATAAACACTACCATCACCATCACCATCACCATCACCATCATCATCATCATCATCATCATCATCATCATCATCATCGTCAGCATCAGCATCAGCATCAGCATCATCAGCAGCATCATCATCAGCATCAGCATCAGCATCCGCATCAGCATCATCATCGTCAGCATCAGCATCAGCGTCAGCATTATCATCATCATCAGCCGCAGCTTCAGCATGAACATCATCATCAACAACGGCAACATCGCTAACATCACCACCACTACCAGCGTCATCATCATCATCATCATCATCATCATCATCATCATCATCATCATGATCTGTATCGTCATGATCAGCAGCATCACCATCCTCATAAACCACATCATCGTCAGCATCATCATCACAACCACCACCACCACCACCACCATCGTCAGCATAATCATTATCAGCAGCAGCCTCATCATCATCAGCAGCATCATCAGCATCATCATCAACAGCACCATCAGCATCACCATCACCATGAACAACAGCATCAGCATCATCAACATAATCAGTATCAGTATCATCATCATCATCATCATCATCATCATCATCATCATCATCATCTCCATCACCATTATCATCATCAGCAGTATCATCATCAGAATCATCACCATCAGCACCATCACTATCATCATCGTATTCATCATCATCAGCATCAGAATCATCATCAGCAGCAGCATCAGCATCAGCATCAGCATCATCAGCAGCAGCGGCATCATCATCATCATCGTCATCATCATCAGTATCAACATCATCAACAACATCTTAATCATCAGCAGCATAATCACCACAACCACCATCATCATCATCAGCAGCAGCATCAGCATCATCATCATCATGTATCATCATCCGCATCATCACCACCATCAGGAGCAGCATCAGCATCAACAACAGCATCAACATCATCACCATAGTCAGCATCATCATCAACACCAGCAGCATCATCAGCATCAGCAGCATCCTCATCAGTATCATCACTTTCACCTTCATCAGCATCATCACCATCATGATCAGCATCATCAGCATGATCATCACCATCATGATCAGCATCATCAGCATGATCATCATCATCATCATCATCATCATCATCATCATCATCATCATCACCCTCACCCTCACCCTCATCCTCATCCTCTCTTCTTCATCCTCATCCTCATCCTCATCCTCACGCCGCTCCAGCCCTCCCCCCTCCCAGTTGCACGCGCGCGCAGCCGTCGCCTCTCCCCCCGAGAGCGGTCACACGAGGTCGTTGGGCTCCTTTTCAATGGCCTCGCAGGGAGGGACAGGACGACGATCCAGACGCGACTCCAGGAGGAAAGTCAAAGCAAAAGCGGAGGGAGAGGACGGAGGGGCCAGGGGCCGGCCTGAAGTCAACCTTGGTCGGGGAGCGGGGCCCCTCGACCTGCGCCGTCCGCGCGGCAGGTGCCCCGCCGCAGCGGCCGCCGCCGCCGCAGCGGCGGCCACCGTCGAGGCCGCCGCGGTAGCTGCCACAGAGGTCCCGACCGCGAGGAGGGAGGAGGGCAAAGCAAAAGCGGAGGGGGAGGATGGACAACGACAAGCGCATGAACTTACATTGTCGGGCGTCCGCGCAGATTTCTTGGGTTTGCGCTGGACCTGCCATGGACGCCCCGGGAGCGCCGCCAGGAGGCCCGCCTGAAGTTCGCGCGGACCTCCGACGGCCCCATCAACCCTGTAGCTCGCGAGTGTTTTAGAGCGTCTCTTTTCCCATCCCCCTTCATCCACTTCAGGGAAGGTTGCATCACTGTCCCTCATTCATAAACACCCCCTCCCCCAGGCGACCAGCAGCCAAGCAGGCACGATACCCCCGCCCCATCACTCTTTTTGGAAAAAAAGGAAAATCCGCCGACCCCTTGGGGTCATCGGCGTGTGAGATGCTTCCCCCCTCCCCAAACCCCTCCCCCCGGAGCCTGGTCCGGTCGTTTTGGAGGGGGGGGGGGGGGGGTCCGGCCGGATTCCCCGGGATCCGCCGGCGCGGTCCGGGGGGGGTCATCCGCTCCAGAGAGTCTGCTGGGGGGGCCGCAAACGAGCGAAGAGGCTCCCAAGAAGCTCTGCAGACGGTCCAAGAGGGCCCCGAGTCGCCGAAAAAACACTCGAAGACGGTCAAGATGGCCTCCAGATGGCCCCAGATGCCTCCAAGACGCCCCAAGAAGCTTCCAAGACGCCTCCCAAGATGGCCCCAAGAGGCCAAAATCGTCGATTTCCATTGGTTTTTTCAACGTTTTTGGCCTTCGCGTTTTTTCGGGCTTCCGACGCTCCAAGACGGCGAAAGAAGCCCCCAAGACGGCATCAAGACGACCCGAGAGGCTCCCAAGTGGGCCCCAACACGGCCCAAGAGCGCCTCAAAACGGCTCAAGAGGGCCTTCAGACAGTCCAAGAGGGCCCACAGAGGGGCCCAAGAAAGGCTCCAGACGGGGACCACGAACCTAAAATTCTAGCCTTCCGCCCCAAAAGGCGCCAAGGAGGCCCCAAGAGGCCTCCAAGAGGCTCCAAGAAGCCCCCAAGAGGCCCCCAACAAGCCCAAAAAAAGCCCCAAGCTGCCCCAAAACAGCTCCCCAGAAGCCTCCAAACTGCCTCCCGCAGGCCCCCGAGAGGATTCTCACGACGACGGCGCCAGAGGCTCCCACAACGGTCAACGAAGCCCCCAAGATGGCCCCAAAAAGGTGCCCAGCCTACGCCGTCGAGTCTGTCGCCGCCATTGTCGTCCTCGTCGTGTTCTCCTGCTCCTTCTCATCCTCCTCTTCCGCCCCCTCCTCCCGTCTCCCCTCTCAGCTTTCTGTCTCGTATTCCCTCCACTGGCTCACTTTTCACCTTCTCCGCCTTTGGCTGCTCCCCCATCCTCCCTCCTCCACGTCCCCCTTATCCATCCCGTCCCCAGCGGTCAGATTCCTCGCAACTTCCGTGCCTTGTCGCAATGCTCGTCACTTGGTTCCGCCGGGCGTTTCGGAGGGTCTCTCCGCGGCGCTCGTCCCGCTTTAAAACACTTCGCGCACACAACTGGGTTGTTTCGCTTGAAATAATTCTTCTTCTGGTCTTTCGACACATGGCCCCCGTCTGAAAACGCTGGTTTCTTCCCGTCCCCGTTCGGTGGGCACGCGGAGCATTCAAACTTTTTCGCCCCCGTGCGCGCATCGTGACACGCGCGGCACACGACTGGGCGATGCGCCTGGCCCGTCTTCCTATAATGTACTTTCTGGTTATCGGACAAATGGCTCAAGTCTGTGAACGCGGGCGCCTTCCCATCCGCCCCCGTCGGGCATGCTCCACAACGGAAAATCTGGGCCTCCGATTTTTCGTGGCACGCGCGGCACATGACCGGGCGATGCGTTTGGCCCGTTCTCCTGTAATGTTCTTTCTGACTGTCCGATAAATGGCTCACGTCTGTAAACGCGGGCCTTATCCATCCCGTCCCCAGCGGTCAGATTCCTCGCAACTTCCGTGCCTTGTCGCAATGCTCGTCACTTGGTTCCGCCGGGCGTTTCGGAGGGTCTCTCCGCGGCGCTCGTCCCGCTTTAAAACACTTCGCGCACACAACTGGGTTGTTTCGCTTGAAATAATTCTTCTTCTGGTCTTTCGACAAATGGCCCCCGTCTGAAAACGCTGGTTTCTTCCCGTCCCCGTTCGGTGGGCACGCGGAGCATTCAAACTTTTTCGCCCCCGTGCGCGCATCGTGACACGCGCGGCACACGACTGGGCGATGCGCCTGGCCCGTCTTCCTATAATGTACTTTCTGGTTATCGGACAAATGGCTCAAGTCTGTGAACGCGGGCGCCTTCCCATCCGCCCCCGTCGGGCATGCTCCACAACGGAAAATCTGGGCCTCCGATTTTTCGTGGCACGCGCGGCACATGACCGGGCGATGCGTTTGGCCCGTTCTCCTGTAATGTTCTTTCTGACTGTCCGATAAATGGCTCACGTCTGTAAACGCGGGCGCCTTCCCATCCGCCCCCTTCGGGCATGCCCCACAACGGAAAACCTGGGCCTCCGACTTTTCCAGGCACGCGTGGCACATGACAGGGCGATGCGCCGTGCCCGTGTCCCAATAATGCCTTTTCTGACTCACCGTCAAATGGCGTGTGTCCATGATTTCGGGTCCCTTTCCATCCGCCCCCTTCGGGCATGCGGAGCACCGTAGCACCCGCGACTTCTCGTGCTCCTCCTGGCATGATCGGCACATCACTGGTCTATGGCCTGCGCCCGTTTTGTGGTACTTCTGCAGTTGATCCGGCGTCAAATGTCGTGTGTCTGTGAACGTCCCCCCTGTTCCATCCGCTTCTGACGGACACGCAGAACATTTCAGCGGCTTCTGTTGGCGCGCAGCTCGTCGCGCAGCGTTCATCTCGTTCTCGCACTCTCTTTCCTTCTGCGATTTGCTCCACTTGTTCCACCCGCCTTTTCTTTTCCCCGCGCACTTCTTGCAGAGCTTCTCTCCCGCGCTTTTCGTCGCATACTGGTTCGCCGCAATTTCTGCCTCCGTTTTCAGGAATTCCAGGCATTCACCGCATCGAATCTTAAACTTCTCCTGCACCTGCCCCCGCCACGCCTCCGATGTCTTCCGTGACTTCCGTGCGGCGGCGGGCCCTGCGCACCGGTCGCATTTGCTTGTCCGCACGAACACTCTATTCCTTTCGACCCCCCCTCCCGCCACTGTGGACGCCATCTCAGCCCATTGCTCACAAGTCGTGCACCACTTTTCTCCTGCCCCCTTCAAATTCTCCATGCAGTCGCAGCAGAAGCTCGGGCCCGACTTCGCGGCGAACTCATTCGTCGTGAATTCAGCCTTTTCCTTCACTTCGCAGCATTTCCCGCACGTCTTCCGCGGCATCACCTTCTTCTCGATTTCGGACCACGGCAACGTCTCCCCGCGCAACTTTTGCAACAACAGCTTCGTTCCTTCCATGCCTCCTTGCGTGTGCGGCTGTCTCGAAAATGGCCGATAGATGAGCAAGCCGCGGCGAGTCTTCACGCGCGTTATGGCCACGTAGCTCGACATCCAGCTGACGTTCCTGCCTTCCTCCAAATCCGCTATAACTGCGTCGAGCGTCCGCCCTTGCGCTGCGTGCGCCGTGCAGGCCAACCCGGGTGAAATTAAAAACTGTCTCCGTCGCACCCCCAACACGGGTTTCTTGCGGTACGAATCCAGGTGCCACGTTCTGGCACGAGGGACAATGGGATAGAGCCCTGGTCCCGGCATCCCTTTGAGCGTCCATTTGTCGGTGTGAAAATCTAACACGATTTGCCTTGGCATCTCACGAAGCACTCTCGACGCCACGTCCTCCACGTCTGGCTCGTCTTCATCCACCACCCACGAATGTATCGTCGCGCGGCACCCCCGTAGCAATTGCTTCTCTGACCGGTCCAAATGGTCCGTGAGTGCAACTGGCATGCCCACGGCAAGCGGCAACCAACCTGGCATGTCTGCACAGGCTTTGTCGTGGTATCCGAGCCACCGCACTTTGTCTGCTGAGGTGCATGGCCGTTCCTGAAACGTTGCGTGACGTGCCGTGTCCCGCGCATACACCCACGAAATCTGTTTCTCCTGGCACGCCGCCCAGTCTACAGCACGCTGCCGCGCTACCTTGCACTTCACATCCTGGTTCGGATAAATCGCTGTGGCTTCGACGAACTGCGGAAGTGCGAATCGTTCGTCTGTCGGACTCGTCGCTACGAGACATCGACGCTTTCTTTCCTCTTTACACTTGTCACACTCCCGCTCATTATTTTCTGCGATAGCTTCAACGTTCTGCGCGCAGGCTTGTGAACCACACATTGGCTTGTCATCCAACCAAGACCCTGGAACGTCTGTAGGTCTTCCATGCAGAAACTGGTGTGTCCTTTCGGTCAAGGCCCCCGTCGGAACTCGTCCTGTACTCCCAGGAACCACTCGTCTTTCTCTTCCAAGCGCTTGCACTCCACCAATTCGGTCATCCCCGCCACCGACCCTGGCCCGTCGCCCCAGAAGATGGAATGACCATGATCTTCTTCGGCGCTTGGCGCATACTGCCTCGCTTTCCGCACCCACGACGTCGGAATCGCATTCAACGGGGTTCCGCCGGGAGGTTCCAACTGGTAGAAGTCTCCGCAGAACAATACATTCACACCCCCAAACGGCCGGTCCACCTTATCGGAACCCACCTTCCCTTGCCTCGCTTCCGACATCACAGATCGCAAGTGCGCATCCAGTTCTGCAAGGAAATTTGCACTCACCATACTGATTTCGTCAATGATGAGCCAACGCCACTGTTGAATTC